TGAGGAATAGGTTGGAAGAAAGCTAGGCACGGCCAAACCAAAACATGGCAGAAATCCATGAAGTCATTGACTAGTGGACTGAGCCATGTCGGTAATTGTCGACTACCTGGTTGGGGTCCGCGAGATGATAATAATCGATGGTTAGAGACCATGAATGACATGGCTCAAAACCGTTTGCAATGACGCCGGTGCATTTATTCTTTGTGTTCTCTCAAATGCTAATCTTCTGGATTCTTCAACCCCTCTAGTTTTGACTTTCTTAACTTTTCTCACTGAATCATACTTCTTGAATATTATCTTCTAATCCTAACCTCTCCGATTATTTCTAATTCCCTTACTACCTCTTCTACTATTGGATTTGAATTGACGATTACTTCTCTGTGCTGATGTGGTATGGCAACATGAACTGATGTACTTATGTACAAAGTTCTACGTTGCATCTGACTGACTGACTGACACGTGTTTCAGGGCAAGAAATGTCATAGGAGAATTTTCTTGATGAACGACATACGTACTTTGCGTCCAATAAGAAGTAAACAAATATGCATATGTGCTTACATACACCTCAGTAATCTAAATACACTCAAGTCAGGTGTTCAACAGGTAGCTAAACAATGTTTAGATTAAGGGAGGATTTAAATCGTAGTATAAATACTTCAAATGAAATAATTTTTATTACGTTTCTGATAAACTTATGATTATATCGGAAAAAAACCATCATTCCACTGATACAACAAATGCCGATGGAGGTCCATTCATTCTTCAACCGATTTTACCAACCAAGTTGGTGAAGGTCAAGTGAGTTTTATGAACACCCATCCCGAAAGATTTCATTAAACACTAACCCAACACAGTCAAAATAATTGTATTCAATTTAAAAAAGCAGGTGTATTCTTAAAAAAATACATAAGACAATTATAATATATGAAAGACAAAATATGAAATGAAAAACAACGTGAGAATAGAAATATTAAAAATAGAATAAGAAATTATAAATCACAAAATTGAATATCAACTGCATTTATTTCAATTACAACAACAATTGATTATCAAAAAAAAATAAGCAAAAAGAAATAGTTAATTAATTAAACTGTGGTATTATAATAATATTCAATTGTAAGAGTAAATCTCCTGTGTATATATATGATTTCTTAGATTTCGGCCGGTATAAATATGAATGAACATAATAAATATTTATTTCGTTTTATTTGCTGCTGACGATTTACGTCGGACAGATGATGATGATACACGCCAATTTTCAGTATGTTCAGCTAAACTATCATACCATTGATCCGGTAATAATGGAAAATAACTATGCAATTGATAAAGAAAACGTTCACGATATAAATCCGGTGTCAATATAGTTGGCATTGGACCTTGTGCACTAGTTATTGTTTGTTTAATAATCATTTCCAGACGTTTATCTAATGTGAATTTACGTAGATAATCAATGAGACCAATAACTAGTTGATTAGTTGTGGTATCAACACCAACCAATAGAGAATAATCCATAATAAATAGATTTGCTAAAAATGCAGTATCCATGTATAAACAATGTGAAAGAGCATTCTAAAAAATTAAGAAAATAAATTCAACAATAAGGGAATATAAATAAACCTTTAAAAAACACATACATACACACGCATACATGATGACAAGTTAAAACTTAATGGTGTTATTAAACTGCTAGTCAAAACTGTCTATTTACACTAAACAACGCGAATCAGACTCTTGTATACGGACGTACATATGTGCATCAGTTCAAGTTGCTATACCATGTTAGCTCAGAGACGCAATTGTCAAACCAAATCCCAAAGTAGGTGAGGTAGTAGAAGTATTAGCAGTAATCGGAGAGATTAGGGTTGAAAGATTTAATTTAAGGAGTATAATCTAGTGAAATAAATTTAAACAGAGAAGGATAAAGGTCATGAGGAATTCAGGAGAAGAGAAAGAATGGATGCATCTGCGCCACTGCAAACGATTTTGAGACATATCATTCAAGACCTCTAAGTATCGGTTACCATCTCGTGGACCCCAACCAGGTAGTGCACACCAATCAACACAGCTCAGTCCACTTGTCAGTGACTTTATGGATTTGTGCCACGTTTTGGTTTTGCACTTCGAACGGGAAGAACCGCATGCCGAACATTCTTGCATTGCTACTTAGTGTAGTCAGAAGACTTTGTATTTTGTCATCGTCTTCGCCAAGTGTAACTATCATCGGCATATTCAAATTCAACAAATGAATTTCTTGGTAAAAGTTCAACTCCTGAAAAGTCAGACGATGAAAGTATCGTATCTAAAAGCACGTCGATGGGGCAGTAAATATAATCAGTAATCAAAACTGTCTAATTATTTACGTTTAGAGTACATACAATGAAACTAAGAGACAGTATTGAGACGAGATATCCCTTTTAAAAAAATAAAAGGTTTCACGAAACATCTAGTTAACTAGAATTTCGGTCAAATTGAAGACACTTCCAATAATCAAATAACTTTATATCCTATTTGATGTACTTAAACTAATTCCCATCATATAACTTAATTGTTCGTTTGAGGTTTAAGACAATAAGAGTATTAATAGCCAAAAATTAGGTCAAAACAGCCTCATAAGCATTAAGTGCTCAAATAACTAGAAATTTAGTTTAAATTACTAAATAATGCGAAATTTTATGCAATGTCAAATAAAACAATCAGTCATAAAAACAAAATTAAGCTAACTCGATGCCACACAGATAATCAGTTCTGTCAAGATTGCAGATACACCTTGATGACGAGTGCCACGAAGTATGAGTCCTATGATCGTGATTGCGCCTACGGACTACCTCCAACCCCACCTAACACGATTGAATTCAAACGGCTCAGAGTAAATATCTACTATTCTTCTTATCGAACAACTAAATTTTTGATCTTGGTATCAACAAACTAGGATGGGTGTTAAATGCGCTACAGAGAATTCTGATTGGCGAAAAACCAAACTATCTCATAAATCAGTGATAAACAATGTCGAATCTTAGATGAGTGTGCATCATTATAAAATGTCACATATTATGTCATTAAACGAAGAGGAGATGATTCAGTGGTACTGAAAAGCATTTTCGAATCTCTCAAGAAGAGTTAACTTTGTACGATGTGTGAATTTTCCTTTTTTTTAACTAAACCTCGAAGTCGTAGGTTGCTTTGTTTATTTAGCTCTTCTTTTGTTTAATGTTAAGTGTATATAGAATATTCATTTAGATTTTTTTTTATTAAGCAAGTCCGATAATTTTTCACATACAGAATGCATAGTTTGGATGTGTGCATTTATATGGTTTCAGTAAATGCATAGTCAAAACGTTTACAATCGACGACTTAAATGACCGTGATATAATTTTGACTAAAACAATAAAGCGTTGTAATGAAAGAGTATTCTGAAAAACAAAAAGAAGAGAGTTTTTCAATTCGAAAAATGGCTGGATCAATTTTTAAATGAAATAGACCTACCTTTGAATGAACTCTTAAATACAATGGATTATCTATTGAAGCATTTAATAAATTCTGATCTAACAGAACAGGTACATGATGTTTCACTGTCGTTGTCTCTGAGGTCGAACTATTATCTACAGTTGTTGCTGTTGTTGACTGATTGTATGTAAACGAATGAGATGATGCAATACCAGAATTAGTTACAGGCTCATCAATTGTTTGCGTCGGATCTGTGGATGTCGCAGTATTAACAGTGGTCGTTGAAGTAGAAAGAGAGTTTGCATTAACTACATTATTGGGTGATTCATCTACAAGTCGTTTACGTAGTGAACCTTTCAAGTCATAAATATACGCCAGTTGAGTACGTCCATAAAATAAATTTTCCATTACAAGTACATCAAATCGATGCGCTTCACCGGAAGTAGAATTTTTGAATCCAACATGAAAAATGCCTAATATTCTTGACAGAACACAAAGGCGCTGTAAAAGTTTGTTTTTAAAAAAAGTAATTCAATGCGTAAATATTTTTTAACACTATATCACATTAAAAAAATGTTAAAAAGTAAAGAAGTGGTGAAAAAAGTCAATTTACTGAAGTAAAAAATTACCATTACTGGAATTTTGTGTAATATGGATGAACCGTGAACAAAAGTGTGTATGAATGAATGCTCTTTAGTGTAATAAGTTGAATAAATTTTACGAAGCTGGTTTGTAGGTAGTAGAAGAGTAATTGGCCACTAAGTGCGAATTAATAAACATTCACTTTACTGGTTATTATGTATGTTATTCCCGTCATACTGTTGACTTTTACTTCTGACTAACTGAGCGCAGACTGCCTAGAATTGAGTTGAATAAAGTATTGTCTAGCCTATGCACTGGTTTTCTACTTTTTTGTCGTGAATCATGTATGTGGTGTAATGTAATCCAGTCTGTGTACAACGTACCCAGTCTAGTGGTAATAGAATCTCAGTCACCCGTCGTATGATTATATGAAGTAGTATAACCTAGCAAAACAGAATACAATTAAATAATTTAGAATTCCAAACACTGGATTTAACCCATGAATCCGACCCTGTTCACTTCAGCTTAAGCATCTACATAATATCAATAACCATCTACAATCAACAATCATACAGCATCACTAAAAGCTGGTAAAAAGGAACTGCAGGTGAATAAACAAGTTAATTATTCGTTAATTCATAGTGATTCATAAGTTATAACTGTTATTCCATTTGTTTTTTAAACGGTTTAACCAAATACACTACTGATAATTGAAAAAAATTGCAATCAAGGTATACATTTCATCAGTAAAACTATATTGTTTATTTACTTGTTCAAGTGCTCCGGTAATTAGGTAATCGAAATAATCTTGAGAAATTTCATGAAATGTTTTCATTTCAATTGATGACAATTCTTTGATTACAAATCGTTCGTCTATGAATAATCAAAAAGAAAAAGAAAAACAGTTAAGTAAACAGAAAACCAAATTAAAAAAAGTATACAGTTAGACCAGCAAACATTGGTTAGTAATATATTGGTATGAAAGCAAATATGAGGTAGCCTGTCTAAGGCATTGAAAGAATGTTAAATATGAATAAAAGAAGTATAAAGATTGAATGTAGCTGCATCATTGTACTTACAAATGAGACTTGGAATTGAGTTATCATCAATTACTGAATTTTACGATCTCGTGGAGCCCAGTAGATAGATACCTTTTGCATAGCTTATACTAATAGACAGGAACATCATAAAAGGTGGATGAACATACGACGTTACATACTCAGTACATTAGAGATCAAGATTCGAGAATTTATACAAGGAGAGTATTGTCTGTGAGCGAACATATATAACAGAATTTGATACAAATGAGGAAAGTTAATAATCTAGAAGTATGCTAACTGAAGTATCCAATTTAAATGACAGCTCATGGTAATTTTCGACTCAATTAATAGTGTTCGATTAAAGTAACTGATATTTCTGCGGTTATTACAAACTATTTATCACTTATTTTGGACCGTAACAATTAGGTAACGACAGGGTCGCTTAAGGCTGATAAGTTCAAACTAAGAGCTTCGTATACTAAACTGACAATACTAGACCAACATATTAAAACAATACTGGAATTAACAGTACAAAATCAACTACTTTGATCATTTTCAGCGGTATTAAACAAAATAGATTTAGTTAACAAGTAATAATCGTGCTAGCGCTTACACATTAACCAGTACTATCAAAGTTACTTTCTCATGAGTGTTTTTCATCAATTAAACTAGACGTTAGGATCGCCTTTACCACTAATTATGGGATAAAGCCATCTGGATCTTTGAAAAGGAATGGCAGATTAAATAACCATGATGCCTGAGATGAAGTTAACAAACTGACGAGCAGGATTTCCTAATAGTACAATATGAAACATGTGTCAAGTAGTCAAGTTTAGAGCCATCCGCTTTACGCGGCATCACGAGTCCCAGAGAGTCGGTGGAATCAAAGCAAATCATTATATTCAAGTTCGTTTGCTTTCATTACATCGATTCTCTTCTCACTCAACTCATCAATACACGTATTGACGTTATGAAAAACAATTTCACATCACTGTCTACAATATTATTTAAATTATGAACTCGACTGTAAATAAAAATTCAAGATGAAAAATACACAACACATGTGAAAACATACCTCGAGTTTTCATAAATAAAGAACCTGATTTACCTCCACGTGCATCCCACTGATAGCATCGTGATAAAGATTGTATAAAACTATCGAAAAAAGAGAATTAACACTTTAAATTTATTCATTAATGGTAATAAAATTCTTCACAAAGATATATGATTATAATACAAATAAAGCATGAAAAGTAACAATTGAGACGACGAGAACGAATTCATTATATCGGTGTGTATTGCTAATATCAATCTATTTCTTAGATGAATAAATTTTCAGCTACATGAAGTTCAATGCAAGAGATTGATTGTTCATAATTTTAGCCCCCCCCCCCCAAGTTCACAAAGAGTGGGATCCAGGATGCGAATTTCGTTTAAACCATCTTAAATTGAATTAGCTACATACAGTTTAATATAATTTATTCGTTTTGTTGAGGAGGTTATACATTCAAATGCCTCCTCTCTGAATAAACACCATGAATATTATGTCATATTAATAAGTGAAACGTTTTTTTAAGTTGTATCTAACCATTTTGGCTTAGAATCAATGCATATATAACTTAATGGTTGTCATTACTTCCGAAAACAATGAATTTTCATTTATTTTTTACTTTCAGTTTTTCGTATGAAATAAAAATAAATCAACCAGTATATTAACAACAGATTCATCCATGATAATAAAAGTAGATTTTTAATGATATATTAATTATATAATTTAAACGCATAAATAGCAATAAAAACTGAATCCAAAGAAACACGAAACACGCAGGAATATTTCGTAGAACGTCAAGCATTTGAGTGGTGGAATTTAGTATGCTGAAACTGATACTGGTAATCATCAGCAAGACGTATGCGCAATCTTAACAGGACTGACGTTCACTCTAGAACTGGATATCATGTCACCCAGCTTCATAGTCTACTATTATTGAGTTATTCTACGAAAGTTTTATCTCCACTGATCAACCAGTGGATGGTGACCACGTATTCATTCCTTTTAGTGCTGATCTAACCCTGTCGATCACATTGAAATAAGAGGATTTTTCCGAGTGACTTTATACCAGAAAACAAGACGTTTGAAATAAAAATGAATAATTATAATAATTAGTAGCTAGATGTTCTTTTTGGCTAAGTTATCGACCCAAGACTCAAACAATGTTATTATTTGGCTAGGTTAAATAAAAGGATAATTTATTTTTCAAACTATAACAACCTAATGTTTTTTAGCTTACTACTGATTCCATTTATTAGGCTGATGAAAACTCGCATATACAAACTATGTACAAGGTAGAAGAACCGTGATGAATCAGTATATTCGAAATAATTACAGGTTTAGCATACATGCACTTCATGTTATTTACATTTAATAACTACTGTTTGAGACTTTTTATTGAATAATTTAAAAATATGAATCGGTAAAATAAGTAATAAAAGAGTGGTAATAAATAAACATGATATCGCTTACGATAGATCTCCATTTGGCATTAGAAGTTGACGTAAACGGAAAAATTCAGAGGCATAGTACACACAGCAAAAGAAAGTGGTTGAACTATCGGAAAACTCTGCGAAGAGTAAATAACAATACCAATACTAAAAATACTAATAATAATAAAGGTGATTATAAACAGTAGAATTCATTATTCAGAAATATATTTGATTTTCTATATATGTTGAGAGAGTTTGAATAAATTCAGTCTAGGAAAATTAAAATAGAGAAATACAATCCCTAACAAGAATAAAATATTAGAGGTTAGCGCAAATCAGAGCTATATTCGAAGCAATGGGCACTGAAATCGAACACCAGTGTGAACATTAACACGGAGATGAAAGTACATTCAGCTGATAAGTCTTTCATAAAACGAAAAAATAATATCCACTACCCAGAAAATGACCGTCTTCACAAGGAGTCAGTCAGTCAGTTACAACGTAGAACTTCGTACGTTCAGGTTGCCATACCACATTAGCACAGAGACACAAGTGTCAATTCAAATCCCATAGTGGTATAGGTAGTAGAATTATTAGCAGTAATTGGAGAGATTAGGGTTCGAAGATATTATTCAGGAAATATAATTCAGTGATAGAACTTCAGGAAGAGAAAAATAGAGGTAATGACGAAATCAGATTAGAATTTTATAGAGTTACATTTTGATTAAGCTTAAATTACTAGACTAACCGCTTTCAATGTACTTGCTGTTTTTGCAATCGCTCCTACTTTTCCTAAATCTGTCGATCATTATGCAACCTTGTGATTTTAGCGATTTCCGAACACTTTATGACGCCATTTCCTATTGTTCTATAGACTAATATATTTGTGAAATCCTTATGAATAGGATTGTACAGGTTGAGTAAACAATGTTGTCAGCAAAAAAGTTTCCTTCGTGGAATTGGCTTTAAACCGTCTTCAACGGAGCAACAGGTGTCTTTATTAATCACTAATTGTCTTTCACTTTACTTACAATCCTAAGATCATACTCTATCATTCTAAAAAAATGTAATGAATACAAACTTGTCGATTCTTTCAAATCATCAAAATGGATGTATGACTATGAAACAAAGGGAGAATTTATTGGACAGTATATTCCCTACTTACATTTCCGTGTTTTTTTATACACAAAAATTCCCTATTGATTATTCTTAAAACTCCATAAATCAACTTACGTATTTTAATATGACGACTTCGAGACCCATTTGATTTATCAGTTGTAAATGAGGCCGTGTGAAAATTGATAGGCATATTATGAGTATGTGTAGACGGCTGCTTCTGATCATGTGATGTACCTACATTGGATAAAGATGACATTCTATTTACTTTCTTTCAAACTAAAAACAATGAGTTATACTAAAAATAATTTGCATTAATTTTATCTAACAAGTGATATAAAATCACACACACAAAATAAGTATAACTTCTGGTCTTAATATGGCTCTGCTAAAATTACTCACAAGTTTACTAGATCAAAAACAATCTATATTGACCACATGTAGAGTCTATACCACATCATGTTCATCACTTAATAAACTGTGAGTTCTTACCAATCAGACTCAGTGACCGAATGCAAATAAGCCATTATAATTTCTTACTTTATAATGCTACTAATCTAAGGGAAAATTCATTAGCCAGAATTTTAAAAAAAAACTATTAGATACCTTATTTCGCTTTGGTGTACAGCTTTTTTAATAATCCATACTGAATGATTGTTTTTGAGCTGCCTTGAGTCTAACTTAACTAAATACTAAGTGATCTGTAGTAAAAGTAGTGACTAGCGGTGACACTGACAAATACATTAAGCTGATTGTAATCTGAAAATCTGAATCGTTTCAATCTATACATTAGTACACTATTAATTTCGTCACAAGTAATTCAATGATTCACTTTCATTACCTACCTAGTGATGTTTCTGATTTTCCAGAAGAACCAATATCAATGGGATTCGATGAAGAAGCAATACTATCCTGTCTTTCTTTTTCACCAATACTTTTGGTACCAGACATAGTGTCACTTGTAATAGCTGCCTCATTATCTTTAGAACTGAAATTTAAAAACAATTCAACAGTGGAAGCGTGCTATAACAATTGAACAAATCAATGACAATAGATTCAATAAATTTACACCAAAGATGCATACGAATGAATTAGTTCTCGTACCTTATTCTTTGTAAAATGCAATCTTGATTGTTTGAATAGTCAGTCCCTAGTGGCCGATTAGTTCAAAAAAGGTGACAAAAGAGAAAATAGTGTTTTCACGATTAGTTATATGTTTATCATTCATGACTTGAATATTTATTTACAATGCCATCCAATTCAGGCAACAATGTAATTACATTTCGATCGTTTTCAATTTTTAAAAATAGAATACAATCTAAAGTTCACAAATAAAGATCCAAATCCACAAAGCATGTTGAATTTTTAAGTTATTTGTAGTATATGAATGTGATTTGTTTAATAATTCACTAATAAAATTTAAAAAAATATGCTAATCTGTCCTCCAAGTTTTCTAATCTTTAGCACTGATCGTATTTAATGAATTATATTGGTAATGTATTCATTAGGCAAAAGCATTCAATATGATGGATAGTACGGTGAATCTTTTTGTCGACTGATTCCAACCATTATAGCCAGAAAAGTATCGTAGTTTTGTTAGTCTCAATAACAAAAAAATATGTGGATTAAACATAAAATATAATACTTATATGATTATTTCAAGTGTTAAAACTGATTTGTTGTTACATTAGTGTTATATAAATAGCATTGCTTTAAAGGCTAAAACATTCGGATCAAAACTCTCAACGGCCTATTTCAGGTTTGAGTACTCAACTCAAGTAGTATTACTAGTCATCATAAAAAAAGAACAATATCAATAAAATTTGGGCATATAAATCTATTCTAGATAAATAAGATCAAAATGTTTAATGAGCAGAAAAGAAATTTCTTTTCAAGCTAGAAATTTATATACAAACTAAATCTTTAAACGTACTTAACAAGTGCAGGTTGACCTAGTTGAATATCTGAACTCTGATGTAATGAAGTTTGAAGGGTAGAATGTAAATCTATCAATTTCCTTTCATATTCTGGTGTACTAATAAACATAAAAATATAAAAAAAAGTATGTAGAGAAAAAGAAAAGAATTGATGCAATAAATGTAAAAATAATTATTATTTCATGATAAACAATAAGCACTAAGTAATCATTTCATATTAGATGAATATGACGCCAATGAAATGATATCACTCAATCTATAAATGGAATGGTTATAACTTGATATATATTTATATAGAATGACTGACTGATCGAATGAATTTCCTACCTGAGATATGAGGACAGTGAAGCAGCAATTGAATAAATTAAGAGTCTGCTTTGCAACTGATAAATTCACAATGGAAAACCAACTCTAGACTTTAGTTTAACCAACTAATTAATAATACTTTAACCCATCCAACAAAAATGTAACTGAAATCCGAGTACATAAGCCTAAACTTTGTTAATAACTTATACAGAAAACGAGAGAGACAGTTATCCACTAGAGAGAAAGAATGGAGGTTGTACAATATAATCAGTCGATTGAAACTAGAGATTAACAAAATCGAATACCGGCTCAGGGGTTGTGCACAAGACTAAAGGTTCTGGGTTCAATTGCTGGACGCAGAAACGTGGGTAAGCACTATTAAGGAGTTTCATTTTAGGATGAAACTGCCTTTCAGTGCTTTAATATTCGATGGATGTTTAACTAAGACAAGTTGTTGATTTAAACTATGAAGAGTCGATAATCTCCACGAATCTCCTTAAACTTATAGAATTCTTGGTGAAACTGTATGACTACATACTAAGGATACAATGTATGTCTGTTTTGATGTACATGCAGAATTAGTTATCTGATTTCAGACTATATAAAGACAACTTTGCTATCATAGATTTTAGTCTACTCGTGTAAGCATGCACATAAGTGTTCATAACTTTCAAAAGCAAATACTAGTTTATATCAGTTATTGTAATCTGTTTCGCTATATTCAAAACTTACGTCAAAGCGAAAGCTATAATTGATGTGAATTCTCGATCATTAACGTACACATCCGGAAGTGCAAGCAATAAATGACAGACAGATCCAGATAATCGATTGTATTCACTACAATTGGATTTGATTTGATTTGATTTACTGAGAACGGTATCAATACGATTTAAAATTTTAATGCAACTTTCATCGCATGTAGTTAATTGAGGATGTTCATAAGCTGGGACTGGTTCACCAAATACTTTTAAATCCATAGCTGATGATAGAAAGGTATGAATAAAGCGACGTACACCAGATGAAGAAGAATTATTCGCAATTGAGATATCATTTTGAATAGAATTAGCTGAAGATTCTATTTTGTTCGATTGATTTTGGGACGAGGACTCAGGATTGAAGATTTCCGGTTCACGTCGTTGGTAAACAACTGGAATATATATATATATATATATCGCTAAGAATTAGTATGCAACATAACAATAAAACCACAGAAAAATTATTTTCTATGTTATCACCCACAGCTTATTTAAGTATAATGTTACCAATCAGAAGACTGTATTGATAGAAGACGGTTAGTAAGATTTATAAACGTTATAAAACTTAACGTTCTCAATATAAGTAAACTATTAGGCATAAAAAACACTAAAGTTGACTGATTACACTAGAATTCGAAGACGGTATATAACAGCTTTATGGAATGGATTGTCAGCACAGGATATAATACATATATATGATAGTGAGTAACGAACTCTAAATTGTACGGGAAAAATACAGAGCAATCACTTATCCAAAGAACAAAATTATCTGATGGTAAAATTTAAATAACAGTTCTTAAACATTTATCTACCCATGAATAACGTGTTATACAGATCAATAGTCAATCAAACAGTGTAGAAAACAAAAAACAATGGTGAAAGTATATCGTAATACGGGAGCAATCACATTTCTAATAGAAGCTTGTTGATTTTTGTATGAGATAAAAAAAGTAGGATGATAGCCTGTAGCTTATTCAGAGCCAAGCAAACATACTGTTAGTTAGTTATCAAGAGGTTTAAAAAATACCTATACGGGACGAATAAATAATAAGGACGGACTGAAATGATTGTTAGCCTCTGTCTTTTGATTGGCCAACAACCAGATACACATTTTGCAATTAATCTTAACATCGTTCAGGAACAGCAATGAAATATATTTTCACCAAATCAACAATTAAGTATAAAACAGTACCTTTTAAATTTAAAGGATCCAAGATAGGTAAGTTCTTAGACAAATCCGATACATGATTATCTTCTGAACGTTGGCTTGAACTGTTATTATCACTGTCATGCAATGCATTAAAATTAGACTTCAAAGGATCATGTTTTAGAGTATTCTCGATAGAGTTATACATTTCATTGTCATTTTTTACAAAGTGAACTAACGATTCCGGTTGGTTAACTGTAAGTACATTATTTAAAGAGGTTGTTGAATGCATTGAAATGCTGCTGTTAGTTAAATTAGTTTCAGTTAAAAGTTTGTTTGTATTTTGATCTGAAGAATTAAAATAACTAGTTTGAGATGTGGATAGTTCAATGGGTAGATTTGAAGAGAAAGATGAATTTCTAATCAAATCACTATTGTGTTCAGATAATTTTTCAGGCTCTAATAAATTGTTTGCACTTTTTGAACTAGTTATGTTATTATTATTATTATTGTTGTTGTTATTGGATATTGATATTGATGTTGTTGTTGTTGTTGTTGATGAGGATGATAACAGAGAAGTTGTAATTGTTAGTTGAGAAGTAGAAGTAATTGAAGGAGAAAGATGATTTGGTGATGGATAAAGAGATGAATTAGCAATTGTGGTAGAAATGTGCGATACAGCTGGCTTTTTACGTTTATCACGCATATTTTTTTCAATACGTTTCATCAATAAATCATATTCGTTTAATCTAAATATTTCATAACAAATTAAGATAATACACGACAATTGTAATTATTAAATAAATTTATCCATAGTCTATTGAAAAATGTGAAGATAAGTACCGTTCAGTGAGTAGATATAGTTTCTTACATCAATCTTACAGTTATCTATTGTACGTTAGATAAAGATTGCACATGATACACAGGAGAGAGGAGAGAATGCAAACTCAGAAACTTATAGTTATATGTTAGGTATTTTAAGAAATGAGTTGCGAAAATTGAGACAGAGTGCGAGGTTTCAATTCAATGGATGAATAACAGCTTTTTACCTTGAAATCATGAATGAATCAGTAAGACCACCATTAGGAACCTGGAAGCAGTGGACGGCTGTTTCGTCCCGGTACGGAAATCATCAGCAGTACGCATCCATAACTCCTGCCACTCGGAAGACTCGAACCCAGAACCTTCAGTATTGCACGCGATCACTTAACCTCTGGACCACTGTGCCAGCGTCCAGCGATGATAATGTGATTCAGAGTTTAAACGTACCCGCCAAAGACCGAAAGTCCTAGGTTCGAATCCTACGAGCGCCAGGAGTCGTGGATGCGCACAGTTGATGAGTCCCATACCGGGACAAAACAGCCGTCCACTGCTTCCAAGTTCCTATTGGTGATCTGACTGATTCACTCATAATTTCAAGGTAAAACTACGATCTCCATAATACATTAATGCAAGAACAATAGCTTATTAGTCATGAGGCTGAACAAATTTTCGTAGTGTCATAGCCGCACAATGATGACAAAGAAACTGGTCGATAATGATTGCTCATCCAACTGATGTTAGTTAATTTACGATGTGAATAGCCTGGAAATTCATTATCATCTTTTAGAAAGGACAGATAATTAGGACTGTATGTAATAAAAATTTTATACAACTGCATTATATGATAATTCGAAAGCAGATAAAAAACAACATCTACATATATTTTCATGCAAAGAACAAACCTGAAATTCCAATCTGAAACAAATCGATAGATCCAACGTTTTAATTCATTCACTAATCTTTGTACAACTAAAGCCTGTTCAACTGAAAACGCAAAAAAAACAAACACACGTAAAAATAATCTATAGAATAAAAATTAGGCTATATAAAAATACATACTGGAGCTAGTAATATTTTAATCATACAAAATTGTAAGTAAGCCTAAGCCTATCCATTCCAGTTGCATTTGAAATAAGCAAGACAAGGAGAGTAAAATAAGATATAATATAACTTCATGAATTGGTACTTCTTTTTTTTTTATATTTAGACATCATTAACCATATGTCAGGGAACAAACATTCCAGTGGCTGTTAACTTGACATGCATAATAATTAACCAGACCATCTCAGCTAGTGCGTTGAGCACAGAATAAAATTTATTTTGATAAATGAATAGATGCGTCACCGATGGTAAAAAGGTAGAAACCATCATGCAGTAAAAAAGACTCAAGTGTACAAATGACTAAATCAATACCATTATTGATTAAGCATTTGAAAGTATTGCATATTCGCTTAAAATAAAAGAAGGGAAATAGTTAACAAAAATAATCAGTTTTATTTTATCAAATATAGTTTACCATTATTTAAGCTAGAGATTATTTTGAACCAATTATGACATTTGGTTTCACTTTGTGAAATATCATATCTTTGTTCAGTTGTTTCACAGGAGTTGTTGTGAACAGTTGAAAAGCTATTTGAGTGAGTTCGAACATGTGACTGAATTGTTGTTTTTTCATCTGTAGTTAGTGTTTGCTCAGTAGGTTTAGTCATTTTTTCATTTTCAACAATAGTTGATTCAGAATTATCTTCTATCGACTTTGTAAGAGAGCCTAAGCTGCACGAAATGTCTACTGGCATGCTTTCAACATCTTTTTTATTAGAAGACATTTCCGTTTGACTGTCATTACTTGGATGTAGAATAAAATCCAAAATTTCTGATCTTTCATCCATTAATATACGACTGGAATCAGACTATGAAATGAAGACAGAAAAAAATTAACACACATTACAAAACTTACAGTAGATTAAATTAATATTAAAGATATGTTATTGTTCAACTGTATGACAAAATGCCACAACTTGATTGACTCAATGAAAGTTATTATGACCTAAAAGATGTTGATTTCTGCCACACGTACGGACCAGAAATATCTGAAAAATTTATAAGCTAATAAAGAAGGGGTTAAGGGGGTTTCCCGTTGTACACACAGTCAGTTTTACAGAATGAATAAATATGTGTTAGATGATAATTGATCACCTGTTTACAAGTTAGTAGATCTGACTATCTATTAAGAACAAACTATTATCATCGTGCTGCAGTGTTTACTATTACTAACTTTAAGAAAATCACACTATGATATAGATAGATCGATTTTATGATAGACTAGTAACTTTTTCAGTAAATAAATTAGCACCTGGTAAACGAGATATACTTAGTCTTTTTTACTTACTGGAAGGAATTTAATTTACGTGTCTAATATATATGAATACAAAAGCTTATAATGCCAAGATATAAATAAAACGCAATAGATTAGAATTCTTACTTCAAGAACTTTTAGATAAGCTTCAAGCATAGCAGACAGTTCAGAAGATAATGTCTCATTTTGTAGATTAGCAATATGACATTTAATGACAGTGTGTATAGTGTAATACCTAGGGAAAAAAGGAAAGTAATACAAGAAATGAATTTATTTTAAGAAATAATAAGATATAAAAAAAAGTTGCGGATATGACGAAGCCCCAGAAACTTAATAGTAAGAATAACTATATGGGTTTTAAAGTATACTTGTTACTAAAAATTTCGATAGATGCGTTAAACACTGAAAACCCATTATTATTATCATTTATTCAAGTGCAATAAAAGTACTGATACTCCATGATTTTTTATATGAAATTTGTGGTTATCAAAATTTTAATTATTCAACTTAGTAAGTAGGTAGGTACGAGTAAGAAAATTTTAAGCTGTGGATGACACTGATTCTAACAGAGACTAAAGATACTACTAAACTGACCACATCGATGAAAAAAGCACACGGCTTACACTTGAGATCCCGGAATCGAGAGTTGAATTGTTAAGTCATTAAACTACCTCACCATAAAGCAAAGGCTTGTCAGAAACCTCAAGATATTGTTTCACCACCGAAATAAACACTATTAGACTTAATGTGTACATACTTTGCTAAAACATCCGATGCTTCTGTGTAAAGATAATTTGGTAAATGAGATCCTTTCTGCATATTGATAGTTTTTGATCCCCGTTTTTGGTAGCTTGAATGACCATGAGACTTGGCAGTAGTAGCAGTATTATCTGTAGTATCCGTGTAATAACCGTCTTCCGGACTGTTCGTATTCATGTGACTTTCAGAAGTTGGTTTTTTAGTAGTTGATATGTGGGTACTTTCCAACTTTGAATTATTGGCTTTCATAGGGAATACACAAATCTCACTTGGAGGCATAACAATTTCATAAACATTAACTGGTTGATATCTGTGGCGTAAAACAAAACAACATTTGAAGAGATTAATACCATATATCAAGGTATGGTAGATGTTTGAGAGTAAAGTATGTATTATTATGATAATGAAAACTCAACTTTATGATGGACATATCAATCGCCGATTATCGTCATTGAATTTAATTGCAATGTTGATTTTCGAGATTAGTACACATGTCAAGAACCTGGCAATCATCAGATAATATTGGGTGATTTCGGTTGACGATAAACTAGCAATCACCAACCAATAACTTAACCGAGTTATCATTTATATTTACATCACAGGCTGTGTCTACGCGTTTACTGGTGAGTGGGACGATTCCGAATGTAGAATTATTATTAGTTTTGGTTCAAAACTCTGGAAATTTATTTATTCTCGTTCCGTTTCCATACAATCTAGACTGGATTTCGTCCAACCCCTAACACATGTTAGGAATCATATATATGTAGACAAGAAAGGAACGAATTGTTGAGGGATTTAAACAAATAACATTTAAGCTACTGAGGGAAATATATATGTAGGCTGTGTGATCAAGCATAATAATAATAATAATAAAAATAAAGACAAAGTGTTAGTGACGAAATGACACCGCCTGTTAAATAAGTTCATTGAAGGGTTCAACCAAATTAAGCGTATACAAACTCAAGCGTTGGTGAATTGATAAACGATACCTGTGTATCCACTCTATCTTAGCCACTAAGCAAGTACTATTAATGCAGCAATCGATATCGGAGTTAATCTTCATAAACATGATTTTCACCACAACAAAATCGCTCCTAACCATATGTATTAGTAATCGTTGTCTGGATATGAAATACCCATTGAGGAATAGCTTCCTTTGTATTATCTACCAGCAATTTTCCGTTAGAATCCAAATTTCGAGAATTATGGAAGTTTAGGGAAAGGTTACAGTAATCAATAATTCAGACGTTCAGTGTATTTAACGTATCGTAAAGCAAGTGCAAACCTGAGATAGCATGGTTGTTAGGCATGTATTTCAAATACTAATCTACCATTTTCTGTTACAAATGTCTTAGAGGTCTCGATATAACCATATGAGATTAAGACGTGAAAACAAGGCACTAATAACTATTCTAGGTTTTAGCCAAAATACCGATTAACCAGCAATTATAGCAAAATTTACGAGCTTCTATAAGAAGTGAACAAGTTACGTTCAAACTACGCAAAAAGAGTAGCAAGTATTGTTCCATGTTCATGATAAAGATGTAATATTTAAATCTTATTTCTACTACAAATGATACATCAAAGTTATAATAATAAGATTCGTATAACCATTTATTCAATTACTTACTTGAAGATAGCTAATTTTCGATCAAAAGCAAAACAATGTTCTAAACATTTATAAACAGAATGTGGACACTGAAATTGTAACGTTGGATCGATAGTTTGATTGCCGATTCCACGCCTAACTGAAGTAGGCGATAATTCCTTAGATGTATCAATTTTGTTCCTTTCATTGGCTGAACTACTAGTACTTCTATTGATTAGACTATAACAAGCCCAATTATCTGAACTATTTATTATTAAATCAAGAAATTTTACAAAAGACAAATGCCAAGTATCAGCAGACATATGTTTGATAGGTGAATTAATTCGACAAATTGGACAGAATAACCACATTTGTATACGACAATGACGACGATGTTTTGCATCATTACTACTTTGATTTGGTATATCTGATGAAATTTCTGATTGAGGTGGATCTTGAATCAATTTACGTATCATAAGTTGCACTGATCCTGAAGTTTGAATAAATCTTTGAATATGATCAGCCATTACTACATTACAAAGTGGATTACGGCAATGTTGCTGCCTAAAATATTTTCAAAACGAAAGAAAGAACATGGAATTACGCTTAACCTTAAAAGACATACGAAATACACTTGATATTTATCATAATAGATGGACTGTAGATGGTCGTAGAAAATACGGTGCGTATTTCGGTAACGTTTTGCTGTCGTTCGAATCAGATATAAACACATGTTTCCAATACGCTATTTGAATCTGAATATCCGATCAAGACGACTCAGAAATACTTAGGAAGCTGTAATTGATAAACAGAATAAAATGTACACGAATCAAAGTCACATATACATCCTTCTTTCTGACTTAGACAAAGAAATATGGGCTATGACCTTGGCTAAATGCATAATCGAATATGTTCAATATCACCTTTAAAATCCCACAAAAAATATTAAAGAAAAGTAATTGCTGTTATATAACACAACAAATTCGATTGATTTATCAAATAAATAAATCTATTTTGAATACATTTTGCTGACTTCAGTAGCTAGGTCTTCTTGTCTTCATTTACTAATCTAAAACTTCGCATTTTTTGGCACTTTTATACAGTAATCTTCACAAATTGTATTGTTTTGTAATGTATTGTAAAGAAATGCTAGTATAAACTAGTAATCAAGTTCCATTTCTTGAAATTGGACTATTGTCTAATGACTAGAATCAGTCTAAAAAAGATTATAGCAGATAGATTTTATTCCGTTTGATGAAAATTAAATTAAATCTTAATGTGGATAAAAAGATTTCTAAGAATTCAATCAGAAAAATTATTACAACTTTAATTAGGTTTTAAATTGTGTAAAAACATAAACAACAGTAATTTAAAGTAAAACTTACATGAAACAAAATTTCTCTAAAAATAATCCTAAAGGTAAATCACTTGAACCGTAAAATTCCACTGTAGCTATCAAAGGTGGAACACATGGTTCTGGTCGCATAATACATTTTGTTGTAAATAATATTGCAAGAAAATTCAATGATTGATATGAACGTGGATCTAAAATACTTCTTCTTAGACGCTATTTTGTTTATAATATCAAATAAATAGATAAAATAATATTTTTCAACTGAGTTTCTAGTTAAATTGAATTCTCTAATACAAAAAACACTCGATTTTAAAATCTTCAGAATTCATTACGATCGAACTATCAACTAAATATTCTTGTAGTAATTCACATACCGAAGTAACAGGTTTGATTGTGAAGCAAAGAAAATGATCTACTCATTTACTAAGTAGAGATTTGTGTATGTGACTTCATGATGCACTCTAAATACTCATCATCATCATCATCATCAACAGCAACGTAGAACTTTGCACGTAAGTACAGCAGTTCAAGCTGACATGCCACATTAGCACGGAAATATAAGTTTTAATTCAAATCCCATTGTAGTAGAGGTAGTAAAAGTATTAGAAGTAATCGGAGAGATTAGGGTTCGAAGATGTTATTGAAGAAGTATAATTCAGTGAGGTGAATTTAGAAAGAGAAAGATAGAGGTGATGAGGAATTCAGAAGGTTAGAATTTGAGCAAACACAAAGAGTGGTTGCACCTGTGCCACTGCAAACGATTTTGAGCCATATCGTCCGAGGTCTCTAATCATCGATTATTATAATTTTTGCGGACCACAACCAGGTAGTCAACACCTACCGACATGACTCAGTCCACTTGTCAGTGAATTCATGGATTTGTGCCATGTTTTGATCTGGCCGCCCCTAGCTTTCGTCCAACCTATTCCTATATCGCAAAACATAGCTCGACGTGGCAGTCGGTGGTTAGGCATACGTAACACATGATTCTAAATACTACCCGGTTGCCAGAACCGGAGTGGGTAGAGCAGTGTTCAAACTTGGGATTTAGTAGTTGGAAGTTGAATATCATGACCACTAAGTGATAAGTAGAGATAAAAAAAGTTCATTTTTTATCTGTCATTTAGTGTGACATTTCATGATATTAGTTTTATTCTCAGTATTGAATTTTAACACACTTGATCTTCACTGTTATATTTTACTTCGCATAACATTATTTCATATTCAGTGCAATATTCGACACTGGCTTAATTCCTGGTGTAACAATTCAGCTATTACGATAACGGTTTTATATTTTCCGGTACAGTATTATATCAAGCCAGTATGTTTTGCAATAATTAAGTGTGAATTTTATTCAGTATGGTATGATTCTTTGTGAGATTAGTCAACCGATGAATGAAAGAACATCTCCCAGAATGGTTTGGAAAAAACCCAGATAAAAATAATATGCAGCTCTATCTTGGCGCATCTGATTAATAGCGGTCATAATATAGACAAATCTGAATCATTTCAACTGATCGATCGAATGATCTTACATTTGTTTGATTTTTTGTCTTATCTTTTCGTTTATATTCATCACAATATAGTCACTTTACACTCTTCTTGTTACGTAATTTTGAAAGAGCTTTTTGATGATTATTTTAAGTCTATTTATCCACGTTTGACCTACTACTTTCACTGTTGAACTTTTGACAAAACTTTTGTCATTGTATTTTATTATTTTTACCACTAAGAGTACAACTGTCTTCCTTCTATCAACTTGTACTTTTACTAATGTGTAGCTGCATAATCCATTTCATTGTGATTATTGATTCATAAATTGCCTTGATTGGTTTAACATTTCCATTTCAAAATTTATGTATATTAGAGTAAAGCCTGATGACGATCTAATTGGAAACAATACTGTTCAGCTATGTGTTGTTGTCTCACTCAGTTTGTATATATATATATATATATATATATATATATATATATATATGCATTACAGGGTTGTGAAGATTGTTAAGTTACACATTTTTTGAAACCATGAATCGATCAGGTGTAGACAGTAACTACCGAAGACTGTGTATGAGGTTGCGCAACTCCGTGAATTTGATCAAGTTAGACATTAACACCATTAGATACCGGCTCAGTGGTCTAACGGTTAGGGCGTTCGCGCACAATACCGAAGGTCCTGGGTTCGAGTCCTGCGGGGTGCAGGAGTTGTGGATGCGCACTGCTGAGGAGTCCCATACCAGGACGAATAATATAAGCTTTATACCAGGTCCTCCCTCTGTCTGTTGTTTATCTATCTACCAAAAGAAAAATCAATATCAAGGTTGGTAATTCTGATCACATGTTGTCAGAATAACTCCAACAAGTTTATATCCGTTTTCATCAAATAAGCATCATTGAATATGTGATATTTCTTAGTTGAAATTATTACCGTTGTTTCAAATATTTTCTTCATTTGTATAAATGTAAACAAGATGTACCATAAAATTTTGATGTAAACATTCATTTTACTGAGCTACATTAAAAGTGAATTTTATGTTGGCACATCTGGCACTTGAAGACAAGATAATTTCATTATATCCTGAGACAATAAGAAAAAAATTTCTAATTTATTTAATTAAAAAAAAAAATTAATAAGCTTACTTTTACACTTTCAGATTCCGATATCAGTTGTATATTAGAAGTTGGTGTAAAACCAGTAGTTGTAGTTGATGTTGTTGTAGAACTTGACTTGATTGATTTCAGTGATTTTGTATTAAATAAAGAACTCCAATGACTAGATAAAATGCTACCCATACCAGCCCAGAGACGTGGAAATGAACGATAACTTGCAGTGTTCTTCCGCTCATTATTATTATTATTATTATTATTATTATTATTATTATTATTATTGTCATTATCAGTAGTGGTAGTGGTAGCAGTAGTAGTAGTAGTAGTAGTAGTAGTAGTAGTATTCATAAATGCCCTAGCTTTATAATCAGTATATAAGGCTTCATCAGATGATGTTAACGTTTCAGAAATAATTAATCCATCAATTGCAAAATCATTTTTCCGAATACTGTTATTACTGTCATTACTGTCGCTACGAAAATATGATAAAATACGATTTGATTTTGAATTAAGTAAAGTGGACGATGAACAAATTTCCAAATTACGTTTTGTGAATGGATGATATAAGTCATCACTAGCACTGCGTGCCGAAGAATAATAATTCTTTGATTTAGCATTCTTCATGTAGTATTTTAATGCTGTCAGTTCACTATTTAACACCTATGATAGAATGAATTAAAATATTATTGTAAACATGAATTATCATGTAAGTAATAAAAAATAATAACAGTATTTTAAGTAACTGAAGCCAAATTTATACTGAATCATCATAAGGTATCATCCCAATTTCATTAAAAAGGAAATGATGTTGGCAAAAATCTTAGCAACTAGAATTAAGGTAAATTCAACATATCAGTCGATAGTCTTATTTGAGTTTCTTCAAGGAAATAATTAAAAGTTCAATCTTTGATTTTTTTTCTCCGCACAAGCTCAGATCAGAAACACTGAGGTTATTTTATATTTAATGCCTCAGAGTTTCGATTGGTTGTATGATCTGAGCAGTATGGCAACCTGAACTGATGTACATGCATACAAAGTTCTGTGTTGTATCTGTCTGTCTTTATATTCAATAGTTAAGATCTTTACAAATGTGATTTACTTTTTTTAATGTCTTTCATTGACTACTATGAAAATATCTGTTTAAAAAACTTTTAGAAAATATACCAATGTGTTGTACACTAATAAAGAGATCAGAAATGTAAAGTCCTCTGAACTTTAAAATTAAAATGAATACTTATCTCTTTTGCTCATACAGTAAAACAATTGTAAATAGTTGTTTATTTTAGTCGTCGTGCATATATAGGAACTTTCATGTGATGGTCAAAGTGTAATATGTGACAAATGAGGGAGATATTAATTGATATGAAGCCTTAATATCTATAATAATGGAGATTTTCAGGACGTTTCAGATTTAAGCATTTAAGAAAGTAAATCTTTGTCGTGGATACTACTCACTTATAAGTAGTGTGCAGCGAACTGTCACTAAGAAGATACTACTGAAGAGAAAAGTGCCGGATCCGAATGTATGACACGAAGAAGACTAAAAGACATTTGAAGAAGACAACTAATAATCTGCTTGTTTTGCGAATAGAAGTTTGAAGATAAGGTGTACACAATTTGTTGGTGAACTCTGTCTAAATACGCTCTAATTTCATCTGGTCTTGATGTCTTCCTTCAGTAGACCTCACCACCGTTGTAAAAAGTTTTCGTTTAGAGGTGTAGCTACAGTTGTTACCACTGAGTAGTATTGGTTGTGAACGGATTTCCTTATAGTAACAAGTTTCCCTAGTTCTTTAGTGTCAATGGAATTTCACTAGACAAAAGATGAAACGCAGGACTAAACCGATAAACGCCATAACTCATCACATAAACATATCATAGTAAGAAGCATTCATCAATATAAATATGTTACATACAATTATAAACATCACAAGAATGGTTGCGGAAATTTCTTTGAAAATTTTTTATGATAAGTAAGACTTACTTTTTTCTTCCGTTTCATCAAATCATTTAGTCTACGTCCTAAAGGCCAGTCGATCACATAAGTATAATATGCGTACAGATACGATAACTGGCCTTCTCTGGATGCCAAATAAGGTAAACGAAATTCAATGCTTGGTGAGACAGATAACAGACGTCCTTGAAGATAAATTGCTAAATCAGAATAAGAATTTTTATCATATTCATCATTTGATTCAGATGTTTTTTCGGTCAGCTATTAAGAAAAAAGTGAATACCCATAAAGGTATAAAGAATAGTTTATAACTGAATATATAGTTGGGAGAAAGCTAAAGAAGCGAACACCAAAACGTCACGTCAATCTGTAAAGTCAGTGATCTTTAAACTGAGACATGTTATTGTGCAAAAGCTACTTAGTTAAGGTACGAAAGATATCAGCAATGACTAATTGAAGAGGTTAGATGACATGGTTTATGATAGGTCTCAGTATAATCTTAGTGTTTACTCTTTGCTTTCCCTTAGATTCCGGTTTTAAAATATATTTTGTACTATATTTGTCCAGTTCTTTCTTTATATTTAACTTATTCTACTAGCGATGACATTGCTATCATTTTTACTATTTAGGAACTTGACTCTATAATTTAATCTCATCGTTATGAAGTGTGGCGAACTTGACCTATGAACATCTGTACCAGGTTTCTAGATTGCCTATGATTGTTTAAGTAAGATGATAATAATCAAAGAAATATTTTACATTTACGAATGATAATACTGACGTCGACAGAACCATTCAGCAAAATGATTATTGCTGCTAATAATCATGCTTTAGTGGTTATCCATTTTAGGCATAAACTGGGAGAACTGTGATATATCACAGTTATAATCAGAACATCTAGATAAATAAAAGTAACTGATTATATTAGATTCTTGCTGAATATAAATAGATTGACAAAATAAACTTACAGAGGAGATAGAAATAACTGAACCATTGAGGTCAGATAGAGCCTTTTTACAAGGCACTGGAGAGGGAAGCGATAAATATTCGGCGTTATTTTCTAAACACATCTTATTTAGAGACTGTACACGGGACCTTGAGGATGTTTCCTCGTCCAATAACGAATGAGGAAGATGGAAAATATGATCATTGTTTGAATAAGCTAATTCCAACTGAGCATTGTAGCACAAACGTAATGTGAATAGAAAGCAACGTTTCGCACGGATAAGTGAGGCAATATTGTTACCTCGTAGAATAACAGTCGCTTCATGAGTAATATACCGAACAGGATTAGAATCAAGTGCCAAACCAGTTTCGTTAGAATTGTTTTTGATGAAAGTAAGAAATTTCGTGGAATCTTTCAAACAAAATAAGAAAATGAAAGGAAAATACTAAGAGACCATTAAGATCCAACGTGAAACGCTTTTTAGATGAAGATTCATGTTGAAATTTTGAAAAAAACTTAACAGTGTTGTGAAGTAAGATCTGAATCCAACTCATATATTTCATCAAGCTGCAACTGATTAGCATTTCGTGTACAGAATGCTTACTTCGATTATCTAAGCTTTTGAATGCTTATGAAATGATAAGTCAAAAGATTGAGAATATGAAAACATTTCTACGATGAATATGACTACATCATATTGTAATTTACAAATAAAAAAACGTATAGCAATAATTTTAAATTTTTAGTTACAAAGTTCAAAAAAGGTATTTGATCAGTAACAGCAGTTAATTTGATTTTTATTGGATTGCCTTATTCTGTTATTAATTTCTAGATTACAATTCGCAATTAGGGCTCGTCTCATTTTGAGCCTTTAAGTATTAACATATTTTTATAAAGATTGATCTTACTGAGATCCCACAGTTACCGTATAAGCTTAATGGATGCAAAAAATTTAAAGTTATAAAAACAAATTAGTTTATTAGGCATAACATATACAAACGTACCATCCGGTAAATGTATTTGTCTAACTTCAAAATGACTACAAATGCCAAGACGTGTTGTCGACTTCTGATTATTATTATTATCTGATTTTCTTGAAGGATTGCTCATTAGCCGATCTATCGAATCTAAGATATCGGCACCTGTCATTTGTGCAATACGATACAATACTGACTATTAAAAGAAAAAACAGGAATAAATACATAAATCCCAAATTTTAACTATTTTGAAAACCAATAGGCGAATCAAAACAAATGAAACAGTAATAGGACTTTCATTCAATAGAGATCAATAACTACAGAAAGGATACACTTAATCGTTCTAATCAACCACTTGTATTATATCTGGGAAACTTATCCACTGTTTAGTATTCTGATGCATAGAAATCTGCTTTGAAGACACTCATTACAGCTGCAATGATATCAACATAAAACACCCATTATTGAGAAAGAATTGTGAAGGCTGAATTAAGAAGAGGTTTAACATAAGTGAATAAGAAAATATAATAATAATTCACACATTTTTCGAAAAGCATGTAAGTGCTGAACGGTTAACAACTAAACTAAAATGGTAATACACAAAATATTCTGTATTAACAATATACATCTTATTTCCTGGAGATGTCAATCGATAATATGCTTGAAGGATTTAACTGTACCAACCAAGATAATTACACAGTGAAAGTGATTATTAGGCAAGCCTATAGTCAACAATCTTGAACATCGCAGTATGTATGAGTAAAAGGCATAACAAAACCATCAATAATTCAGTGATGTATCACCTAGTAGATTTGTGTGACAACACTTGCAAAGCATACATAGCAAAGGTAGTAAACTGCAGAATTTTCCGAACATATAAATAGATATAAAAATAGGTCGCTTATTTCTTCACTCCTCCATGCACTTCATCTTAAAGGCTTATATATTTTAAATATTTCTACCTGTAATTGTACACCTGGGTGGGGAAATCCTAGAAAATAAGTTATTGCTTAGATGTTATGTAACTAATTATCGTATTTCTGACTAGCCTTAGCAAAAATACGAGCATGTTCGGCATGCGGTTCTCACCCTCGAAATTCAAAATGTTGCTTCAGGATTGAGTTTCATCGGCACCTGAACTAGTGATAGGGAGTGAAGTAGTCCAACGTGTAGACCGCTTCACTTACCACGGGAGTTTCGTCAGTGCCGATAGACTGGTGACTGACGAAATCTCAGCACCGATACAGAAGGCCCAATCGGCTTTTGCCAATTTATGTCATTTGTGGAGTAGGCGAGATATCCGTTTGTTGACTAAAGGACGAGTGTACTGCGCGGCACCTTTCTCCGTTCTCCTATATGGTTGCGAAACATGGCCGGTAACAGTAGATATTCGTAGGTTACTAGTTTTCGATCATAGATGTCTTAGAAGCATTGCTTGTGTATCCTGGGACAACCGAGTAAGCAATGATGTCGTTAGTAAAAGATTACTAGGTAAGAAAGGCAGGGCAATAGATGAAGTATTGAATCTTCATCAGTTGAGGTGGTTGGGACATGTGTTACGAATGCCTAACCACCGACTGCCGCGACGAGCTATGTTTTGTGGTGTAGGAGTAGGTTGGAAGAAAGCTAGGGGTAGCCAGACCAAAACATGGCACAAATCCATGAAGTCACTGACAAGTGGACTGAGTCATGTTGGTAGATGTAGGCTGTCTGGTTGGGGTCCACGAGACGAAAGTCACCAATGGTTAGAGACCTTGAATGACATGGCTCAAAATCCTTTGCAATGAGGCAGGTGCATCCACTCTCTGTGTTCTCTCAAATCTTAATCTTCTGGATTCGTCAACACTTCTTCCTTTGTCTTTCTAAACTTATCTCACTGAATTGTACTTCCTCAATAATATCTTGGAACCCTAATCTTCTCCTTTACCAGAGGTACTTCCAGTATCTCTACCACCATTTGATTCGAATTGACAATTGGGTATCTGCGCTAATGTGGTATGGCAACACGAATTGATGTACTTACGTATGAAGTTCTACATTGCAGCTGACTGACTAACTGAATTATCGTATTCGAATTAAAATAAAATTACATTATTATTGAATAGCTATATTTGATAATCAAACTGAACAGTAATTTGTATGCTAAAAAATATAGTCTTAGAAAAACTTATTACTACTATAAGCACATTTCGCTAACTAATATTAATAAAAATTATGTTCGACACTTACTTGTTTTACATTGGAAAATAAAATGATTCCAGATTTGAAAATAAAATTCTGTGCTAAATAACAAACAGATCCACTGACGAATACAATATTAGGATGTAGGCAGAGAATTTTACAAACACAATTGTTTATGTATTCTTCTTCCTGAAGCAAAAAGAAAGAAATATATGCCGTAGATCATTCCAATGTGATGACAATCGGATTAATTATACACATATATCAGGTGTAAAAGAAAGCGTAGATAGCTAAACTAGTTTATTAAAGAGTAAAATCATAAAATAGGGATTTAACAATATCATACTCTGCAAGACTTAAATTCTCTAAGAAATAATATGTAACAAATAATTCTTCACTGAACCAGGGAAAATATGACATGATGGATATAGTTAGTTTTATGTTTGCTGCAATTAACCATACCCTGAAGGTGAGACGTCCATCCATCCATCAACCGAAAGACGGATATACTGGGCAGTGGTTTGTTTATTTTTATTCTATGGCTACGTACAGTAGAGTCTGAACATAGAAGTGCTGTATCCGGAGAAAGATCAGAGAAATGGTAACGTCTAGGATGAACTTACGGATTATTACTACATATGTTTTTACTGCATAATTATTAGATAACTATATTATTACATATTTACATACCTTTTGTCATAAACTCTTGATTGACCCATTTGCTAATTTTGATCAACTATATCTAGTCTATCGTCAGTTTATCATTCAAAGTCACTTTTGACTTGCTCATGCATTAATGTATTTTCTCACTCTGTAGTGTGATATGGTCTGGTGGCGAATGTGCATCGACTGAGGTGGCTGAGAAATGTATTGCTTATGTCCGAAAACTTTAACGTTACAAGGCGCTGGCCGAAGTAAGTTGTAAGGAAGCTAGATACGGTCGATCCAATGATTCGCATCAGTTTATTAAGTTATGGACTATTAGATTGAGCTGTATTGGTAGACCCAAACTAACTAATTGAGGTCTGTTGACTTTGACTGATTAACTGAACTGCAATTTTACTCAGCTCTCAACCACTAAACTAAATGCTAATTTTGATTGCCGATTAAGATAATGAAGTTTTACAATATAGGTACACAATGTTATCATGGACTAAAGTACATTACGAATAACATTGACATATATAGGGTTTATGTTGATGACTCAAGTTTCAGTTCACTCAATGCAAAACAAAGTTGAAACTATGATTATGATATAAATGATTTTGAGCCTTAAATTTAATGTGGAAGAAGTGATATCGCATTTATTTACTAACATTTGATTAAGTAATTTCTACACAGCAATACAGAACAATACAAAATATCAAGCAGATACATTTGTTGAATTTTGTAAATTAAGAAATATAATTGAGCAAAGAGAGTATCATAAATAATTATTTTACTGACAAACAAATATGATACCCCAAATCATCAGTTGTTACTTAAAGATAAAAACACTGTAAAATGGAAAATAATATAAATAAAACCTCATCATAAATGAATATCCTTACTTGCATAATCTGAGACTCTAACCATGCCATTTTAGACGTAGTACGTTGATAACTTATAGATGAATCTAAAAGAAGTATGCGTGGATTATCTAAAACAGTCGGCATTAGTTTATGAGTTGGACGTTTAGAGAAAATAAGACCAGGAAACAAATCTGAATTGTTATTATCTTCATCCAGTAGCTATTAATAATAAAACAACATCAAAAAAAACATGCATGATAAAGGGTTAAAAAATGAATAAATGAATAATTCATTATCAATTAAATGACGTGTCAAATAATCACTGTTTATGAAAGACAATAAGGTCAATTAATGTCATTAGCACTAGCAAAATATTATGAGTTATGAACTATAATCGGTCAGTCAAAAAAAAATTAGAAATCAGTTGAATGCTAATCTGTATGCAAATGATGATGGACAACTAAGCAAAATAGACAATTACACAACAGACTGAATATTCTATGCAAGCATCCAAATGCACTATAGCATTAACAATTCTAATAAAAGGTCAGTGCATGATGTCACACGCACCATATTAAAATATTAAATTAGAAATTTTTTGAAAAATAAAAACTCGTTCAGATAACTAGTCTATCGATAAAAAGTAAAACTCGACAACTGGGGTTAATTTTTGCCTATCAATATCTCATTGTTGACAAACAGTCTTCTAGTCAATCGAATACTCACAACAAACATGAAGACATTTATGTAGAGCTTTTAAGTCTACAACGATTATGGAAAAGATATGAAACATGTAAGCTTAGTAATGGGCAATATGTCTTTTTTTTCAAACTGTTTTCAAAACTATAACATGCATGACCATTGTGATTTTTTTCAGATCGATAACCAACCATGAACATTTTTAAAGTATCGAATAAATTAGGATCAGTCAGTCAAAAATCATTGACATATGGTTTAAACACGCAAAATTTCTATCTGAACTTATTTACAAACTGTATTTTAAGTTGTAATAATGCGTGTTTTCATATTTAAGAATCATGTCTACAATTCTTTTTTATCATCAATTTCAATCATTCACAGAACTACATATTATCATATAACATCATCGCTATCAGTTTATCTGTTGATCAAATTTAATTAAATTATGAAAATATTACTTTAAAAAAACATCCTATTCTATATAGTTTCATAAGACATACCTTTTTAATATGTACATAATATCGAATATCCATTGGTGAATAAACTTGTTGTTTATTCGTATTAGCATTGATGACAGATTTCTGTTGGTTAGATTTTATAGTTGTATTATTTGACTGAGATTGTTGTTTTTGTTGTCGATTAAATTGAAAATAACGTAAACCAGTTGATCGTAAATCAAAGTGAACCGTTTGACAAACATTCCATGCTAGACGAATAAGAATTGATGCCCAACTAGAATCTAAGGCATTATCTCGTACATCTTGTAAAACCAATTGATATATATGTTTGTCAAAGATATTCCTAATAGGTAATTTTCATTGATAAACATATGAACAGAGAAAGAGATAATTGTAGTAGATTTATTCGAACAAATTTTATAAATGTGGAAAGTTTATAACTGATATAATTACAATATATTATTCATTGCTTTTTAATAGGATTTGAATAACAGATTTATCACAATGCTATGAACGGTTTTAACAAGATATATGATTTAAAAAGTTGTCATTGAACATTTAGTAAGTAGATATGATAACTTTAGTTATCTACCACGCGTTAAACGGTTACAATATCTTACTCTTTCAAGATTAAGTAAACTATTATACACACAACGAAACAGCTCAAGAAAATTGCTCTAGACATCAACTCAGATCAAAAATTCCTTTTGGAATTAATTTGTTTGAAGTCCCCATTTATGTATAATTTAAAACTACTAACACAATGAAACATAACAATCTTGAAAGAATTGGTAAATAAAGACAGTCGAGAAAATGATGTGTTTGTTAAGAAGTTAGAAACTAGACACAAATGAAGGGAAAAACTCACTTCATGTTATAAGTGTATTCATCAGCACTCATCCGTAAGCTATTACCTAGCTGTACTGGAAGATCAACTGGCTGATATTGACTAGTTAATATTGGTTGTGATGTATATTTCCATTTTTCTGTTGAACGAAGCGATTCAAGACTACAATCTCGCATTCTGCTAACATCTTGTCCAACTTCAAAACTGGATCGAACTGAAAAGTAATCGTAATTACGCGAAAAGAATTCATGTTTAATATATTTAAATATAAAAAATAAAATGTTTACCTGGAAAATTATTACTAAATAAAACACCTCGACTGATAAATTAGGATTAAAGATATTACACAATGAATGAAACAATGGCTCAGTAATCTAAGATAGTGGACTCTAAATTACTATATTTACATTACTCGGGTATTTTTGTTTAGTAAACTCACGTCCCATATAAACTAAGTCGTGACAAATAAAATTAAAAGTTACCATACAACCGATTAATGACGTTAATCAATAAGTTTTCGGTATTAGAATATAAATCGAAAGAATTAAAGTAAGGAGACCTATCAGTTATTTCCTAACGAGAGAACACTGTTTCCCAGCATAACTTACGACATAAAACGAAGTACGTTTGAAAAATATCTATTAATCGAACGGTTTTTCATAGGTAAAACGTCCCACGCTAATTGATAAGAAATATATTCAATCACAATTCAATAGAAGAAAATACAACACCACGAAACTCAGTTTTTGTAAACATGTCAACTTAAAATCCAGTTGTACTGAATCACTGAACACAAATTTGGAAAGAGATAGCACGAACAAACAAGACGAGAGTTTCAGTCAATTTAAAATTTGTTAGTTGAATATTATAAGCAACTCAGTGAGCGGAAGGTGATTACACTCAGACTGGAACCCAGCAGCTATTGACACAAACACTAAACGAGTAATTGACTAAAACGACTGAATTATCATGTCCGCTTCTGGTTCATTGTTTATAAAATACTAGCACACTCCAAAAGATTATTTTAGTGTACCGAATCAATCCCTTAGCTAAAACACTGAAAAGTCATTAGCATTACATCAAAAAATTAATCATAATCTACAAACAAAAGTTTAATGGTTTGGTTCCGACTGTCGAACGGAAGTGAACATACGTATCATTAATAAACCAACGTATAATAAACATTAGGAACCCTGTAATACTTTCAATTACATATAAACAGCAACATGTGCGGATTAGGCATAACACGCTTAAAAATATAGATTCGTAGAATTGTGGCTTGTTAACATTCTATCTCGTCCAGATTTGACAGGTTAAGCAGCCACTAGTTTTTATAACAAAAGAAATGAGTTGAACAAAATACATTATATGGTAGAAATAACTAATAAACTATAACTTATTTGGGCATTCTGTTCTAACAAGCAATCATGAACAAATAGAATAGTTTAGCTGATTAATTCTATATATATATATATATATATATATATATATATATATATATATATATATATATATGTACAGTCAAAATTCAATATCCTCTGTCACCTCTGTCAATAGATTTATTGATAAAGTTGAGTGAAAAATGAATGTTAGAAAATCAAATAGATGCCAAAATCTGACAAATTTCACTAATCTTTTCTCTGCTCATGAAATTCAAATAATAGGAATTTAAATCCATGAAACTATAAGATCAATCCATTTACCTGTAGAAGAGTTTGATTTGGTATCGTTAAAACTATCAATTAAGCAGGGTGTAGAAGATCTAGAACTTTCATTTTCAGAATTGCTAATTTCTAACAACCAATTCGGTTCATGAACTCCAAGTATACTTGAATGAGTATTAGCAGTAATCGAAGGAGTTGAATTAAAATGAAAATTGTTAAAAAATGATATAGAATCCATAGTTTTTCTTCTGGAATTAGTTTGATGAAAAAATTGACTATTTGAATCACTCTGAAACAATATGAAGCATTGAGAATATTCATACAAGAGATAATATACTAAATCCATTCAGTAAATTATGATAGAGGAAAAGTAACGAGCCACAGTCCTCGATTGAATCGCTCTGGGGTACATGTGTAGATTCAGATCATGCTCTAGTGCGAGCGCGTATTTGTTGGCGGTTTACTGGACGTATGAAATGAACCGCAAGTAAACCTCTTAGGGTTCTACTTAATTATAGCACAGCTAAGAATATATTTCAGGAATAACTAGAGGGAAAAACAGTTAGACGACCATGTAAGTGATTCCCATCCGTAAGCAGCTTGTGAATCAGAGTACATAAATTCATGACTCAAAACATCCTTTACTGTTGTTTTAAGTTACACCGGTTAACAAAAATACTTTCACACCCAGTAGAATGAAAACTCTTTACAAACACCAAAAACAAAACCAACAGTTTCACAGCACGTTTGAAAAATATAAGTGGAAGACGCCATCACTAAAGTTGTTTTATGATGTCAACGGCTAAAACTATTTGGTCAAACAACTGATAAACTCAGATGTAAATAAACTTTACTGATGTACTGAAAAATTAAAAAGGTAATACAAACTATGATTCACCTGTTTTAGTTTATAAAGTGTAAGGTTATCATCAAATTGTTTACAGTCGGGATTTTGTAGATCGGTTAATAAACCAAGGTCCATAAATTTTTGACAGATTAGCCGTCCTTTCATTCTGAAACAGGATTGATTTATAGAAAACAAAGTACAGCAGAGTAAGCATGACGTGAATCAAGGTGTTAAAGGCTACTTTACTAGTTGAAAAAAATACTAGTTATGACATAAAATAATGAAGTGATCATACATGTTCACTACATGAAGATGAAACTATTGAATTATAACCCAAACGATGCATTAATATTTATGATTATTTATAAAATTCTTTATCCCAAGTACTTAGCAGTTAACCACTTGAATGAGGCATCAATTGTTAATCGTGATCTAATATCAATTCCGTAAAGTCAGGAAATTCGAAAGGATTCATCATCTATAATTAAGCATTGAAATATATAGTTCTCTCTGCTCTCTCTCTATCTTACTGCAACTATGATCCAGTACATAATTCATTCATCCAAGGTCAGTTGCTTTAAATCAGTGGATCATAGTCGTGGAACTCATTGCCGATTACCATAGTTTCCATGATAAGGGTATTACCAGCAACAGGCTTAATAACTATGGTTGAAGGCCTGAACAATGATTTACACTAATTTTTTCAAGAATTACTTGTACGATGTCATCTGCAGTTGGCTTATATATATATATATATATATATATATATATATATATATATATATATGAATATCAGTCCCTTTCGCAAGAATGTAATATTATTTTCATAGTAGCTAACAAAGTTTAAGTATACTACTAATTAACACAAATATAACCTAGATTTAATGCATACATTATTTTTAAAAAAAACTGACCTACAATGTTCCGAATCTGGTATATTATTGACTAACCAATACACTAATACTGCACCATAAATACAATAGAATTCTTCATTTTCGTTTTTTAATTTAAATAGTTGTAACGATTTACATGAATTGTTGTCTCTTGTTAAATTGTCATTTGAATGGCTGAAAATACGACTTAATAATCCAGTTGATGGTGTAGTTAACTGTGAAATAGTTGGAAATTCAGGATCTTTTGACAAACTAGCACAAACTCTTGACCACAAATCAATTATATCTTGATCTGAAGATGAGTTAAATAATGACTGCGACGTAGTACTTAGTAAACATTCAAACGAATGCGATGAAGAAATCTTTTTAAATGGAGCACTAAAAACATCTACATTCAATGATTCGTCTAAAATTAAAGTTTTATTTATGCGCGGTGTTCGACGAATTACATCGAATGCACCAGATTCAGTATGATACTTTGTTTGTTTGATAGAATCCAGCGAAGGAGATAAATCATTAACATGATTGGGACTTGGGAAGGTTGTTGAGAAAAATGCAGGAAATAGGTCTCTGTTTTCATCTGCTGAACTAGTAGAGGCAGAATTATCTGGGCTAACTGAATGCACATTTTCTCTGTCTATGTACGAAGGTGAAGTAAGCAATGCTTTTGAATTGGATACATTCAACAAACCAGTACTCAAATGTTTATTATGATTGTTAAGATGACTGACATGCGATGGAACAGACTTTGGTCGGTTATTATTTCTCTGGGCTTTTTCCGATAAACTGATCTTTTTCTTCAAGCCATCAATATTGTCTGTATTTATTGATCTAACTGAACTTTTGTTTAATGTATGTTCTGATTTATTGGTATTAGTAGTGATTAATGCTTCGGCACAATAACTACAAGCTCGTTGAAGACCATCAAGTCCGATTTGAGTCCCCTCAACCATCTTAACATATGACAACAAAAGCAAAAATTAGGCAGATTGAGAAAAATCATATGGCATGTTTATAGCAAATAACAAAACTGGACCTGTAAAAGCGCTAATTCCTCAAAAATATAAAGTAGAAACATTTTCCGGTACCCACAATTTCACTAAAGCCTCACAGTCTCGACACTGAAACCACAGGGTACGTAGAATGCAAACAAAGGCTGCTTTTAGGTTAGGAATAATGTTCACATAAAAATCCTATAAATGCCAGAATTTGTAGGGTTTAGATGTGTGAAGCACGTATAAAAAGAATTTAAGCAAGTGATTGAAGTGAGTAACTATGATATAATTCAAATGAACTAAGCGATGAATAGATGCACTACGTCACAGGATGAAAAAGTAATGGTGATGATTTTCGTGTGAACTGGTCATATGAATGCTTACTTCCATGCTCTGCTAGGTACATTTAAAACCAATGATGATAATCGTAGCTGCTACCCTGACGTGGTGGTCGGGCTTGCCTATCGTGATGAACCAACCGAGCTATACTGGCTGGAACACATGTTCCTGAAGGGTCGACCATGCCAGTCAGGTCGATTGGAGAACGATGAGACTAAAAGCAGCTACTCAAGGTCTGAGGACGAAGTCGTACTGCTGACTGCAGAGGGGTGTGACAGCAGTAAGGTGTTTCCCTCGTACAACCAGCATCTGCAGCGATGCTGCCTTCTCACAAGGAAGGAAGTGGTTAGAAAAGGTCGACCCTAAAAATGTCACACCTCACCCTACCTCATGGATTTCTGTCTCTGGCGGTAAGAGTGCCCATTAAGGGCTTTCAAGAGCGGAGCTAATACTCAAAAACCCTTTCATAAAAAGGCCGTGCGTGACCGGCCTCAAGCAGTTGTCCCTTGGTTTCTGCGGTCACGCAACCAGGTCTCTAAGACAAACTCTAATCCACCTTCCTTTTCAGGTTCCTCAAGAAACAACGTTCCATGGTGTGGGCAGCCGGGAAGTGACAACCGCCCTCATACCCGTACCAGCAAACGAGACCAAATTGGTCAAAATCAAATCCTTTCTACACCTCTTAATAACTCTCTAATCTCCTCGACCAACCTTTCTATTGATCGTTTATCACCTCACGCCACTGAAGCAAACGGTACGAGCTTTCAAAACATTATTCCTGGTCTTTTGAAACTACGTACTAAATTACATATAGTAGCTTCTAATGTTCGGACTCCGACCGAAGCTGCTACCTTGACGTGGTGGTCGGGCTTGCCTATCGTGATGACCCAACCGAGCTATACTGGCTGGAACACATGTTCCTGCAGGTCCTACCATGCCAGGCAGGTCGATTGGAGAACGATGAGACTAAAAGCAGCTACTCAAGGTCTGAGGGCGAAGTCGTACTGCTGACTGCAGAGGGGTGTGACAGCAGTAAGGTGTTTCCCTCGTACAACCAGCATCTGCAGCGATGCTGCCTTCTCACAAGGAAGGAAGTGGTTAGAAAAGGTCGACCCTAAAAATGTCACACCTCACCCTACCTCATGGATTTCTGTCTCTGGCGGTAAGAGTGCCCATTAAGGGCTTTCAAGAGCGGAGCTAATACTCAAAAATCCTTTCATAAAAAATCCGTGCGTGACCGGCCTCAAGCAGTTGTCCCTTGGTTTCTGCGGTCACGCAACCAGGTCTCTAAGACAAACTCTAATCCACCTTCCTTTTCAGGTTCCTCAAGAAACAACGTTCCATGGTGTGGGCATCCGGGAAGTGACAACCGCCCTCATACCCGTACCAGCAAGCGAGACCAAATTGGTCAAAATCAAATCCTTTCTACATCTCTTAATAACTCTCTAATTTCCTCGAACAACCTTTCTTTTGATCGTTTATCACCTCACGCCACTGAAGCAAACGGTACGAGTTTTCAAAACATTATTCCTGGTCTTTTGAAACTACGTACTAAATTACATACAGTAGCTTTTAATGTTCGGACTCCGACCGAAGCTGCTACCTTGACGTGGTGGTCGGGCTTGCCTATCGTGATGACCCAACCGAGCTATACTGGCTGGAACACATGTTCCTGCAGGTCCTACCATGCCAGGCAGGTCGATTGGAGAACGATGAGACTAAAAGCAGCTACTCAAGGTCTGAGGGCGAAGTCGTACTGCTGACTGCAGAGGGGTGTGACAGCAGTAAGGTGTTTCCCTCGGACAACCAGCATCTGCAGCGATGCTGCCTTCTCACAAGGAAGGAAGTGGTTAGAAAAGGTCGGCCCTAAAAATGTCACACCTCCCCTACCTCACGGATTTCCGTCTCCTTGGGTAAGGGTGCCCACTAAGGGCCTTTAAGAACGGAGCTAATCCTCTAAATACCTCTCATAAAAAGGCCGTGCGTGACCGGCCTCAAGCAGTTGTCCCTTGGACTCTGCGGTCACGCACCAACACTAATCCATCTTCCTTTTCAGGTTCGTCAAGAAACAACCTTCCATGGTGTGGGCAGCCGGGAAGTGATAACCGCCCTCATACCCGCAAAAGCACACGAGACAAAATTGTTCAAAATCAAATCCTTCCTACATTCCCTAATACCTCTCTTATCTCCACAACTAACTCTTCTCACATTCATTTATTACAGTGCACAGCTAATGCAAACGATGCGAGTTTGCGAAACGTCGTTCCTGGTCTCCTTAAACCCCCGTTCCAAACTACATGTTGGAGCATTCAATGTACGGACATTGTGTCAAATAGGGCAACAGGCGTCATTAGCTAGGACTTTAGAATCTCGTTCCATCGATGTGTGCTGCGTCTCGGAAACGCGCATAACAGGATCCGAGTAGCATCACTCATTTGACCTCACCATGTCAAGATAAAGAAGCAGCTCGATTTACCCTTCGTGTATCCGGTAGCCCTGATGCTGCTTCTAGGGGCCTCGCCGGTGTAGGTATAGCATTGAGTCGTAGGGCAGAACAATCTCTCCTTGACTGGATCCCTGTAGATAGTCGCTTGTGCGCCGTCCGACTCAACGGGACAGTAAGGACTCGGAAAGATAGGGACACTCGCCGTTGCCTCTTCGTCATATCAGCCTACGCCCCCACTGACTGCAGCCCAGATGATGTAAAAGATGAGTTTTACAGAAAGCTTTCGGACCTCCTCCAAAAAGTTAAGCGCTCTGATATAGTTATAATGGCTGGTGACTTCAATGCACAAGTAGGTAGACTAAGTGAAAATGAAAGACACCTAGGTGGATGTTACGGTCTCGCGGCTCAAAGAACAGACAATGGCGAGCGTCTGTTGCAACTGTGCTCAGATAACCAACTATTTCTAGCAAACACTAATTTTAAGCATAAGGAAAAACATCTGTTGACCTGGCGACCCCCGAAGTCGTCTCAACGTTGGACACAACTAGATCATATCGCCATTAGCCACCGATGGAGGGGTTCGATAGAGGACTGTCGCTCGTTCTGGGGCACATGTTTAGATTCAGATCATGCCCTAGTGCGGGCACGTATTTGTTTGAGGCTTGCTGGACGTAGGAAAGACACCGTAAGGAAGCCTCTTAGGGCTTTACTTAATGATAATCAAACTAAGAAAATATTTCAGGAGGAACTAGAAAAACAGTTAGGCGGCCATGCAAGTGATTCCCATCCTGAAGCAGGTTGGTATGATATCAAAAAGGCTGTGGAAACAGCAGTGATATCTGCTAGCAAGGTAAACCGTAAGGCTAGGATGAAGCCCTGGATCTCAGTCGCATCCACCGAACTGATGGATGCTCGAAAACGCATTCCACCTGACTCTGAACATGATGAAGAGCGTAGTCAGCTTAGGTGCAGACTTATAAAAAGCCTACGTAACGACCGTGAACAGTGGTGGGTGGCGAAAGCAAAAGCGATGGAAAAGGCAGCGGCGATAGGCAACACTAGACAACTTTTTCGACTTATCAAGGAAACTGGTATTAGGTACCCGAATGTAAGTGAGACTATCTCGGAAAAGGATGGGATTATTATCCATTCTCAATCCAGGAGACTGGATCGATGGGCAGAACACTTTAGGGATCAGTTCAACTGGCCTTCAGCCACTCTTCGGTTGCCCACGATCTCCAGTCATCCTGAATGGCAAATCGATTTAAGTCCTCCCAGTTTACATGAAGTTGAGAAAGCTATAGGAAATCTAAGGAGAGGTAGAGCGGCAGGTCCCGATAGGCTTACCCCTGAGATGTTTAAGGATGGTGGTCCAGTTTTAACGGTTAAACTGACCGAGATCCTAGGTAGAATCTGGGAAATGGACGTAATCCCATCTGACTGGTCTCAGTCGCTAATTGTCCCAGTCTACAAGAAAGGACAGAAGTCCTCTTGTGACAATCACAGGGGAATAAGTTTAACTAATATAGTTTCTAAATTGTTAGCCTCGATTATACTTAGACGTCTAACTAGAGCTCGTGAAGAGCAGACTCGAGAAAACCAGGCTGGTTTCAGACATGGACGTGGTTGTATAGACCACATCTTCACACTACGACAGGTCCTGGAACACAGACACACATTTAGACGTCCGACAATAGTCGTGTTCCTGGACCTTAAGGCGGCATTCGACTCAGTGGATCGTGAGGTTCTGTGGCAGTGTCTGTCATTGAAAGGTGTACCAAAGAAGTACATTAACCTTATACAAGCTCTCTACTCGAACACCACTGGTCGAGTGAGAGCTTATGGCGAACTGTCATCTGAATTCTCTACATCAAGTGGTGTCCGTCAGGGCTGTCCACTCTCTCCATTCTTGTTTAACTTTGTCGTAGACATCCTATTAGAGTTAACATTAAGCTCGTCAGATTTTTCAGGGGTTGACCTTCTACCAGGAAAGTCGCTTACTGATCTAGAATATGCCGATGACATAGTTCTATTCGGTGAAGACGCTGAAAAAATGCAGAGTCTTCTGACTACCATAAGCAACAATGCGAGCATGTTCGGGATGCGGTTTTCCCCCTCGAAATGCAAAATGTTGCTTCAAGACTGGGTTACATTGGCACCTGAACTGGTGATA